CCAAGGTTAATTAATTCCTGCCATTAATTCAGGGGATTCAGCGAGGCCCCAGCCCAGCAGCACAGCGGGACCCTGGGGTGGCCGTGGCCATCGCTCATTAGGAGCAGGATTAATTTGATTTAATGACCTCGGGATGAGTGCTGGTGGATCCGGGGAGCTGCAAGATCACGGGGCAGGAGCCAAACCCTTCATTGCTTGGTTTGTCACCCCCCCGGTGCTTTCCTGCTTCCCGAAGGGGAAAAAAAAAGCTAAAAAATTAAAATAAAACACAGCTGGATTTTCCCAGCTGCTGACCACTGTCGAAGACCACCCTGGGTCGGGGGTGGATCTGTGGGGTGGAAAAACTTCTCCTCCCACCCGAGCTTCCAAAGAAAGGCTCAGCAGTCTCTGTTGTTGGGTCTCAAGGCAGTTTATTGCAAGTTATCTCAAAGATTTTCTCCTCGGGCTGCTGTGGTTTGCTCCCAGCTCAGGCAGAGGCACACACACACCCTGACATCCTCTCTGACCCCGACTGCTTCTTCTCTCCCACCCAGGGCTGCTGCTCTCTTTTATATGGTACATTACGTGTGACATGTTTAGAGTTTTCCCCAATGCCTATTACCTATATTAAATGGTGCTTTTCTATCTTTTATATGTACATTACGTGTTACATGTTTACAGTTTTTCCCCAATGCCTATTACCTATATTAAATGGTGCTTTTCTATCTTTTATATGGTACATTACGTGTTACATGTTTGCAGTTTTTCCCCAATACTTACTACCTATATTAAATGGTGCTTTTCTATCTTTTATATGGCACATTACGTGTTACATGTTTACAGTTTTTCCCCAATGCCTATTACCTATATTAAATGGTGCTTTTCTACTCTAAACCAATCTGTGAGTGCCAACATCACCAAGAACATGGAGGTGAGGAAGGAGAAAGAGGGAGGACAGGGCAGGCCCAAATCCCAAATCCATCTTAAAACCTCTGACCCCCATGTACAAAACCAAAACCCCCCTGTACAGCACTCAAAAATTCTTCCCTCCACTTTGTGACTACTTCTACTCTAACATCTAAACTTTTGTGATTTCTCGTTCTCCCTGCAAGGTTGGTAAATCATTCCATGGCCCAAACCCAAAATCACAGCTGCTTCCAGCTGTGCCAGGGTCTCAAATGCTTCTGAACTGGGCCCGGAACCTCCAGAAATGTCTGAGGGACATTTTGGGTTCCCACAGACCACGGGGTGCTGCAATCATCCGGCTCCTTCCAGCAGCACCAGCGAGGTGCCAGGTGCCCAAACCCTGGAAATCCATAAATCCATAAAATCCATAAAATCCATAAACCCCATAAAACCCATAAAACCCATAAAATCCATAAAATCCATAAAATCCAGCAGAGTTTGTGCTGGAAGGAACCCTAAAGCTCATCCCAGCACCCCACCAGGCCTTGAATTTCCCAAATCTGGCCAAGCCCTCTCCTGCCCCGAACCCGGCCCTCATTTTGGGCAGTTTTGGGCAATTCCTGCGTTTCCCGGGAGCTTTGTGCTGGGCCAGAGCAGAATCCTGCAGCCGTTTCCTTGAGTCGCCTCCAGCGAGGCGCCTCCACCCAGTTTTCATTTTAATTTTTTATTTTATTTCCAAGGAGATGCTGCAAACACAGCTTCGAGGAGCCCCGGTTTCGGTGCTGAGCCCGGCTGCAGGCGCTGCCGGAGTTTCAACAAGTGGGGTTCAAGAAATAGAAATATACATTCAAAAACTAAAATTGTAAACATGTAAAGATAGATTTAAAATATAAATATAAATATATAAGATATAGCAAATCATAGATGTGTAAATATAAATACAAATAAAATTATAAACATAAAGATATATTAAAATATACAAATATAAATATATAAGATATAGCAAAACATAGACATGTAAATATAAATACAAAAAAATTATAAGCATGTAAAGATCTATTAAAATATACAAATATAAATATATAAGATATAGCAAAACATAGATGTGTAAATATAAATACAAGTAAAATTATAAGCATATAAAGATATATTAAAATATATAATATGAACATATAAGATATAGCAAACTATAGATGTGTAAATATAAATACAAATAAAATTATAAACATATAAAGATATATTTAAAATATAAATATAAAAATATAAGATATAGTAAAATATAGATGTGTAAATATAAATGCAAATAAAATTATAAACATATAAAGATATATAAAATATAAAAAATAAATAGAAAAATAAATAGATGATGTATCGAAATAAAGAAGTACAAATGCAAAAGAAAACCATTTTTATTAAAAAATAGAAAAAGAAATATAAAATATAAAATAGAAATCTAAATGTATATAAGATATATATTTATATATAAATGCAAAAATATAAGCATAGAAATATATCTTCAAGAACATAACTATAACTGGGATTTTTTAAAATCAGAGGGTTTTGGGTATGTAAAAGGAAGGTTTTAGAGACAGGAGGATGGTGAGTAGAGTCAAGCAACAGATATAAGAGTTGTTAGTAGAAAAATCATATAAAAGTAGGAAGAAAGGATAAATAGAATATTGGTGTGTTTATTAATGTTTGGGTAGAATCATTTCTTAAGTTGCAGAAAAGTCTGTTTGGTGAGATATTAGGAAGGTCTAAGTTTAATAATGGAGTTTTGTGAATTGTATTTTGAGGTTTATAAGTAAATATTGTATTTAAAATAAGTAAGTGTTGTTTTAATTGAAGGTATATGTGTTGATAGAGATTGGAGAGAAGTATTAGTTAATATGTTTTATATATAACTGTAACTGTAAGTATAAATATAGAAGTTACAGTGAGAGCTAAAAGATAATATAAACATAAGTGTAAGTATAAGTATAAGTATAAGTATAAACATAAATATAAACATAAATATAAATATAAAATATAAAAGTAATATCAAGCGCTAAAAGACAAACATAAACATAAACATAAACATAAACATAAACAATATAAATATAAATATAAATATAAATATAAATATAAATATAAATATAAATATAAATATAAATATAAATATAAATATAAATATAAATATAAACGCAAGCGGGGAGGGCCCATGGTTTTGTCTGGGATCATTCCTGCAGCTTTCCAGCAGCTGCCTGGGATCTGCCCCGGGGCTTCCCAGCAGAGCAAGGCAGCGATGCCATCATTCAATTAACAACATCCTTGATTGCCAGAGCTCCGGGAGCAGCACTTGGGAAACGGTCACCTCTTAACTTCATTATTCCAATAGCAGCAATATTTGCTGCTTCGGCAGGGCTCTGCTGTGGGAGGACAAAATCCAGAATTGATCATTGATTCTGAGCCGAGCTAATCGTGGGGTCACAGAGCGCTCAGGGATGGGAAGGTGTCGGAATCGGAGGTGTTGGTGATCCCAAAATTGTGGAAATTCTCTGTCTGTCAGCCCGCTGCCAAAGCAGAAGCCATAATTGGTCTGTGCTGGTTTCCAGGTTGTTTATTCTGTTTATCTCTCACATGTTCTGCTGCCCTGCCCAGCTCTGTCCTGCAGGGCAGCGTGTGGGGCTCTGCCCTCAGTGCGATGTGACAAACATTCAATACCAGAAACTCCCTGGGCTGGATTTACAAGAACGTGCCAATATCTGTCACCCACGTTGGACAGTGTGTCCCCAGCCTGAACCAACAGAAAAATGCCAACACCACAGTGAGACATGGAGGGCATGAAGGAGGAGAAAAAGGACAAGGCACACCCAATTTCCTCCAGCTTGTCCCCTTTGAACCCCTCATCTAGAATTCTAAAATTTTACTTTTGCACCCGTGCCACACTTAATTATTACTGATATCAAACACTGAGAGCTGGTAATTCATCCTGTAAGATTGAAAACTCTTTTCCATGGCCAGAGATCACAGGCAGTGTCTCTGGGGGCTCTGTCCAGGGGGGTCCCAGGGCAGCCAGAGGGAAGCTCTGCATTCCCACAGGAAGGGACCTCCAAGATCTCCTGGGGACAATTCCCAGCCCGGGCTCGTCTGGGGCAGCCGCAGCTTCCCCGGGTCCCCGGCCTCACAGGGAGAATTCCTGCCCAAATCCCAAAATTCCCCCTCCTCAATATGTCACTTCGGGGACCCCAAAATTCACCGCCCCCCAACTCCAGCCCCGCGCTGGGACCACGGAGCTCCCCAAAAATCACTGCCCCCCCACCCCAGCCCCTCGGGGCTCCCCAAAAATCACTGCCCCCCCACCCCAGCCCCTCGGGGCTCCCCAAAAATCACCATCCCCCCACCCCAGCCCCTCGGGGCTCCCCAAAAATCACTGCCCTCCCCAGCCCAGCCCCATGGGGCTCCCCAAAAATCACCCTGGGACAGCGGGGCTCCCAAAAACCACCCTGGGACAGCGGGGCTCCCAAAAATCACTGCCCCCCCAGCCCAGCCCCACGGGGCTCCCCAAAAATCGCCGCCCCCTCATCCCAGCCCCTCGGGGCTCCCCAAAAATCACTGCCCCCTCATCCCAGCCCCACGGAACTCCCCAAAAATCACCATCCCCCCACCCCAGCCCCTCGGGGCTCCCCAAAAATCGCCGCCCCCTCATCCCAGCCCCTCGGGGCTCCCCAAAAATCGCCGCCCCCCCATCCCAGCCCCGCGCTGGGAGCGGCCGCGGCACCGCGGGGCGGGGCCATGCAAATGAGAAACATTGTTATGCAAATGAGGGGCGGACTATGCGAACACAGAGGGATATGCAATGAGGGCGTGGTTATGTAAATGAACACATGGTATATGAATACGGGGCGTGGTTATGTAGATGAGAACCATATATGGAAATAGGGGCGTGGCCCGGGCGTGGGCGGAGCCCCGGCCCCGCCCCGCGCTCCCGCCCAGAGCCCTCAGAGCGCTCCGAGCGCGGCGGCGGCCGCAGAGCCCGCGGCGGCACCGGCACCGGCACGGGCGCTCCGCTCCGCTCCGCCGCCACCGCCGGCCCCTCCAGCACCGCCGGCCCCTCCGCCAGCGCCCCCTCCGCCATGAACTCGCTGCTCTTCGGCGAGATGGCCCGCGCCTTCTCCCCCGCCGCCGCCGCCTCCTCCTGCCCGCTGGGCCCCGGCGGCGGCGGCCCCGCGGCGGCCGCGGGCGGCCCGCCGGTGACGGCGGCGCTGCGGAACGACCTGGGCTCCAACATCCACCTGCTCAAGGGGCTGAACGTGCGGTTCCGCTGCTTCCTGGCCAAGGTGCACGAGCTGGAGCGGCGCAACCGGCTGCTGGAGAAGCAGCTGGCGGCCCAGCAGAGCGAGCGCGACCGGCGGCTGCGCTACAAGACCTTCTCCCGGGACCAGGCGGTGCAGACGGACGGCGGCACCCCGCCGCTGCTGCCGCCGCCGGGCCCCGGGCACGGCGCGCTGCCCTCGCCGCCGCACTACGGCCGCCTGCCCGGCACCATCTGGAGCTACACCCAGGTGCGGCGCACCGGCGGCGGCGGCCTGGAGACCGTGCAGGGCCCCGGCGTGTCCTGGGTGCACCCGGACGGCGTCGGGGTGCAGATCGACACCATCACCCCCGAGATCCGCGCCCTCTACAACGTGCTGGCCAAAGTCAAGCGGGAGCGCGACGAGTACAAGAGGAAGTGAGTGATGGGGGATGCGCGCGGTGCGCGCTGCACTGCGGGGAAACGGGGCCAGCCCTCCGCGGGAGCGCTCGGGGACAGCGCGGCGGGCACCGAGCTCCCCCTCCCGGGGTGGCTGCGGGCGGGGGATGCGCCCCGCGGGTCGTGGGGGGCTCTTTATCCGGGGAGGGTGGG